AAAAAAAACAGAATTTATGTTTCATAAAAATGGTAGACGTTGACAGAAAGCTTTGAAGCAAATCTTGATCAATCAGATGATTGCAGATTGTACGCATGTGTTGAGGATTCCATTATGATTCTTTGTGCAGATGTGTAATAGCAATTTAGTCGCCATTACAAATTGTATACAAACATTATGAAAAGGAACTACTAAAATAATTTTTCCAAATGAATTAGAAAACCAAATTTTTGATACTTTTTTATTGGAAGTAATGAGATTAATAGTAAAATAAGTTATAGAACTTAAATAAGAAAACGTAAAATAAAATAGATAATAACACAAAAATGCTATATTTTAATTCATTCGAAAATTAAATGAAGTAAATCAATTATACCGTAGCGGTACCCCCCATAACTGCAGCTTTAGAACTAATTTCAAATTCTTCAGCAGAATTTGACGACGAAATGTGCGTACGCACATCTATTCCAGCTGGCATTAATACTTTACCTTTTCCATCTACAATTAATGCACCTGATGGTGCTTCAACGCTAGCAGATACTTGCCTGAATAATAAAGCCCAATCACGAGAAGTAATCAATACACATTTGTCATTAATAGAAAAAAATATTTGATAATAATGAGACGACAAAAAATCTTGCTGCTACATTATTGATAATTATATTGTCAATTTTATATTTTATTTCATTGAATAGAATTAACAGCGTATAGAAGCAGTATAAACTATAAATAGAGTTAAATGAATATTCTTACTGTATTACAGTATCCTGTACTAACACATCGCAAACAAACATTGCGTCATCATTGATTACTTGAATTCCTTTAAAGAGAATTGGTGAAGCCACACTACCACCATGACTTACTGCTGAAGCCATCAGTGAAGTTGTAATTTCAGCTTTGGATGTCGTTATGAGTGAAGATGGTGGCAGTGACGAACACAATATTCTCTTGGATAATAATTGCTTTGTTGAGCCTGTCCTCTGATGCTCTGCCATATTCCTGATACTATCATCACTTTCTGTAACAGTGCCACTAGCAGTACTGGCTGCAGACTTGCCATGCATGATGTCTTTGGAAACGGTGCTATTTCTTCTCATTGCCATTACATCTGACGGATCACCAAGCGAAA